GAATATGGGCGGGAGCAGGATATGACATCACGCGCCAAGGTTTCCCCTCAGTTTATTTTTTTATTGAAGATATAGGTTTTCCCTCAGTTATCACAACATGGATTCAGATGTGCGTGTACTGTGTCTTTTGCGACGGCGTCAAAAGCGTCTGGAAAGGAGAAGGCTGTTCACCCTATTCTACGGACTCAGAATGAGCGGGGAGAGTTCCATTCTTTAATTCAGGAGCTTCGGCTGGATGAGGATCGCCACAAGGAGTACTTTCGGCTCTTATTTTATTACCATTTTTTTAAAACTATAGTGAATAAACTGTATTAATGAATGAAATGTTCAAGGTGTCTGAATAAATTTTGGTTTGACTGTACATACATATATATATATTACATTTTTAAGTGCTGTAGGTTTTTCCCTTTAAATAAAAAAATGTGTCCGCATTCAAATGTACCATCTGTTCCTGTTTCCATTGACACGGCGAACCATGCAGCTTATTTTTTTATTAGATTTTTATAATCTTTTAAAGATGTATTATATAACATAGGAGCTAATTTTAGCTACAGCTAAAATTAGCGCTTCCTCCATTTTTGAATTTCTGTACAGAGAGGTCATGCAGTGACGTATCGATCTTCTACTTCTACTTCTAATTCGCAGGTCAGAGTTCACCAAGCTTGAACTTTCGAACGCAGCGGAATGCGAAATTTTTCGCATGAGCTTGCATTTCCGGTCTGACGCATTCGCATGCGTATGAATGGAAGTCAATGGAACGAAAAGTGCAGTGTGACCGCCCCTTCTCTCTCTCTCTCTCTCTCTCGCGCGCGCGCGCGCGCACACACACACACACACACACACACACACACACACACACACACACACACACACACACCTCTCTCTCTCTCTCTTGTGCGCGTGCGCACACAAACACCGCTCACACTCTCTGTCGTAAAGATTCCTAAATGCATCTACTTTCGGAAGGCCAAATAAAGTGCTTTTGCTTTCACCTAGAAACACAGCGTCTCCCTGACATGGCTGCTTCAACACTAACTGCGGTTACTGAAACCACGCCTTCTTTCTTTGCGTGCACATTTGGGCGGCATTATGCTAATATTTCCACATAGTGAGGTAGATATGTGGGGGTGTGTTAGAACGAGCCGTTTTTAGGGGGAAAGAATATCTCTTTGGTTTTGAGATAGGGATGCACGATATATCGGCCACCATATCGGTATCGGCCCATATCGGCTAATTTTTTCTGTTATCGGTATCGGCCTGATAAGAAAATTTGGCCGATATCTTAAAGCCGATAAATAATGCATTTAAATTTTCTGTCATGTACACAAAAGAAGATATATTTGAAGATTGTTGGTTTCCAAACATTGACTTTTAGTGTGTTCTAAGCATTGAATTTTTGAAAATTCTTCAAAATATCTGTGTAAATGATGACAGAACTTACAGTTTTGAATGAACTATCCTTTGAGTTATTACATGGAGTTGTTAAATCATCTTATAAAAATGGAAACGGGAGAAAATGCAACAGGTTTAACAAACAAAACATTGTTTCTTGATGTTCTCAAAAAATAAGCATTTTATTTGACTACACTGAGTATATGAAATGCACACTTTTTGAGTATATGAAAAAGTGTGCTTTTGAATAGTCAAGTCAAATTGATTGCAATCTTTCTTTAGAAGTCTTGGGTGACAGTGTATTTGTTTTATTTTTTCACAGGTATACAAAAGTGAATGTATGAATGGTGTGGGTTATTGGTATTGTGTGTGGTTGATTCTGAGTGTTATGTTGTTTCCACTGAGTAGGCTTTTAGAGGAAATTTCCTGATAAGTGACAAATAACACCCACTGTGTAAATGTCAGTGTCAAGAACGAGAGATTTATTATTATTAATTTAGATATTAATCATGTTTCCATGAAATGTCAACATTGACAAATGAGAAATAACACCTTTATGACTGTATGCAGGTTGATTTGGCTTTAATTTCATGATTAGTATGATGGCACCATGACAGTGTTGGCTATTTGACATTGCATGTCATATTTTTGTGGTTTTTATTTTCAGTTTAGTGGTAATAACTGATTTTGAAAGTCTAAGTAATGTGGTACATTTAGAAAAAACTCATATGGATGGAAATCCCCTCTGATTTTCATGACAGGAGCCGTTGGGGCTGCGCCCCTGTTCTATTGCCAGTGGCCACAGGGGGGGTAAGACATATAAATGGACACCAGGAATGGTGGAAAGTGGAAAGCAGGGCTCTGAACCGGTTCAAGGAATGAAAACGAAAACCAGAAATGAACAAAATTACTATACGAAAAAAACGATAACCAGAAATAGAAACGAAATCAAATTTATGAGTTCTGAACAGAATCGAAAATTTGAAATGTCCATTAACCGATTAATAACATTATTTTATCATTCCATTTAATATTTGAATTTATCAGTCAACCAATCACAAATTTAAGTAGCCTATGCAAATGTGACGTTGAAGCATCCAATGAGTGAAATCCCCACGCTCAGCTGTAAATTCATCATAGATAAATCGCAATGGCAGTGCCCTGGCGTAAGTTTAACCGAGGAAACACCAGCCGTTAGGCCTACATTTAAGTGAAAATGAATGGCAGGTAATACAGCTTATTGTGTGTATTAAAACCAGCAAAATTGCAGGATAGTATAGAACACGGATTCAATAAGGTCACATCTTGTTGTGAATGCGATTGTCATGCGCAACTTGTCAGTAAAGCCGGTTCTGTGATTAGTAGTAAATCTCCGTGCTTTCAGATGGAGCAGCATTTACAACACAGAGCCGTAGTTCACTGACAAGCTATGCAATATCGCATTCATTATCACAGACGATTTAATCACGCGATAATGAAATCGAAGATATCGTCTGCGATATTGAAAACTGTTTGCGGTAGCTTCTCAGTGAACTACAGCTCTGTGTAGTAAATGCTGCTCCATCTAAAAGCACGTGAAAATATCACATTTATTAACATGTTTTTACTCCAGACTCACTTCATAACGTCAGTCGAGTGTTTGGAATAAATCCTTCTGTGAGATGATGTGGCTTCTTAAACATAAATAAGGCACGCAAAATATTTCATAGCATTCTAAGCAGTGATAAAGGCTATGTCGATTAGCATTGCATTATTATATACTTTATTATAATAATAATTATAAGAAGAACTCCGATAAATCATATATTGTCATAGTCTTGTGTTTATTAGTCACGTTGAATCAAGGAAAGCAGCCCTCTGGCCTTCGGATGGAGATTTACTACTGATCACAGAGCCGTGCTTCATTGAAAGATTTGCATGACAATCGCAGCTTCTGCCTTATCGCGATTTATCGCTATTGTGATTTATCATGCAGCCCTAAATTAAATCATTAACAGATTAACAAAATGAAAGAAAAAAATGTGCTGAGTTTGACGCGTCACACGCTCCAATGTTCACGGAAAGGAAACCAAGATGGCAGAAAACCGTTTTCTATATTTTGCAAAAGTTTGACCGTTTTCATTATTTTGCAAAATCTTTACAGTTTTGAATGATGTCTTGCATCTGTAGCTTTGGTATGACCATAAATGACGGAATAACAGATGGGAAAACAATGCTGTGATTGCGCCGGAGCCTCACGCGCACACACAACATATTTTTGCTACCTTGACATCGCAGCCTGTTCATAATCCGTTTATATTTAGCCTAAATGCTGTTAACTTTAGAGGATTTGTTGTGGAGAGAAGGGAACTAAAATAGCCTAGTTGTGTTTATAATGTTTGTAAACCTTTTGCTTTATTTACCGGTATTTTAGCCTACATTATTTCTGAATGTAGGCTAATATTAAAATGTGATGTACAGCCTACTGTTTCTTCCTCTCAAAAGTTTTTAAACCATGCAGCAAACTTTTTTAAATATCTTGAAAAAATACTTTAGTGTCTTTAAAGCGTTTACAGTTTTTTTCTTTCATTTAATACATTTGGCCTAAATCGAGAAAAGATGATGCTGTATTGGCTATGACTAAGCGCAAGATACGCTACCAGATCAAGACTCTCTTCATGTTTTTTTTTTCTTTTTGAGTTACGAAAACAAATGACTGTACTTGGATGTTTAAGTATTGACACAAATCAGGAAAATGAAATGTCATTTAATTCTATACAATCAAAAAATGGAAAAATGCATGTAAAAAAGCTAATTAATTAAAATTATTTTATAAATGAATTGTGCTGCATTAACATTTTATTTCATTTTAATGAACTAAATTAAAAGGCAGTATTTTTTGCGCAGCCTTACTGCATTTGCACATTTTTATAAAAATATGATATCAAATATAAACGCATTTTTTAATACATAAAAGGGAACATCTCATACTTCAGAAAATTTTTCATGATCATGTCTTTTATTATTTTAACCTGTGTGACTAAATAAAACGCATTTGTAAATTTGTGTTAAATATTATACTGTACATTTGTGTATTATTTGAAGGTGGACCTGGATGTGACCTTGCCAGGTGAAGGTGGGAAGGACAGGCTGTTTAAGGTCACCATTAAGTTTGTGTCACTGGTCAGTTGGCACTTGCTGCATGAGGTCCTCACTGGGAGGGGCACACCTGATCCTCTGAACCTGGATAAGCCAATCAGCACAAATCCCGTACATGCTGTAGATGTTGTTATGCGCCATCTGCCCTCTATGAAGTAAGAGCTCCCATGAGTACTGTTACCTGATCATAAAGGGCATTTAATTCAATTAGAAAAGCATTAAGTGATTGTTATGCCTTTAATGATACAGTGCATAACTAGTAAAATGAGACTGAAAGTGTTTTGTTGTGGATTAGTGTAGCATAAACAGTAAGCGGTTGGATCAGGATAATTTAGGAGTGCACATGTTTATTCTGCAGGTAACGACTGTGTTTGTCTTCTCTCACTTCAGGTACACCCCAGTGGGACGATCCTTTTTCTCTTCCCCCGAGGGCTATGATCACCCACTGGGTGGGGGGAGGGAGGTGTGGTTTGGCTTCCACCAATCAGTGCGTCCAGCTATGTGGAAAATGATGTTGAACATTGATGGTAAGTCAGAGTGTTATGATAGGTCAAACCATTTTGGTCTGAATTATCCAGTTACATGATCTGGACAGTGGTTCTAGTAGTTCAGTGGTTATTAAAGAAAAAGATCCAAAATAATGCCATTATTGACACTCTTTCATTTAATTTAATGTCATTTTTATCTGTCATTGGTCAGACAAACAGATAGTCCCACTTTTAAAAGCATCGTTGTGTTTATATTTGGGGGGATTTAACCTGCAAATGACTTGTAACTATTTTATTAACTAATTGTTTAACATTGACCATGTTTTATTTTTTCCACAGTGTCTGCCACTGCATTCTACAAAGCTCAAGCTGTGATTCAGTTCATGTGTGAGGTTCTGGATATCCACAACATCGATGAGCAACCTCGACCTCTAACTGATTCCCATAGAGTCAAATTCACCAAAGAGATCAAAGGTTTGTGTGAATGGAAGAATGGAGTAATTTCTATTCATCAAAGAATCCTGAATAAACATCATAGTGAAAATTCAGCTTTGCCATCACAGGAATAAATACAATTTTAAAATAAAATGCAGTTGTTTGAAATTGTAACAATATTTCATAATATTACTGTTTTTACTGAATTGTTCAAGTAAAAAAATGCAGGCTTCTTAAAAAAATACAAATAATAAAAAAAATGCATGAATGGTAAATGCTATAGATCAGTAGCCAGGTTTCTATGCACATATTTTTATGCACATTTTGGGATAACATTAAAAAAAAAAACTGGATGGAAACTCAAAGATGTGAGTGACGGATGTAAGTGACGATTTTGTTTAGGAGAAACATGTAAAGGAAATTCTGCTTTATTTACACATTACTTCTTTAATTTTTGCATAAATTAAATTTGCAACTGGGATTGAAACATAATATTTACCTGTACTGTATTTAATAGTCAAAATACTCTGAGCTGTAAACTTACCATTTGCATCTGTATAGTGGTGTAAATTCGATCTTCTCCTCCCATCAGGTCTAAAGGTGGAGGTCACCCACTGTGGCACCATGCGGAGGAAGTACAGGGTGTGTAATGTTACCCGTCGACCAGCCAGCCACCAGACGTAAGTTTATTGAATATGCATTGTTTTGTATATTTCTCATGATAATGTGAGGTTTGATTGTCTCTCAGTTAGCAGGCCAATAAGTCTGTACTGTGTCAAAAATATGAAATGTTTTACTGTCCTTTTTGTTATATTGAAGCATTACATCACTTGCTCACAGTGGTGACGGCACCTGTTCACTGCAGAGGATCCATTGGAGAGCAAGTGATGTAATGCTAAATTTCTCCACATCTGTTTAGATGAACAAACAAACTCATATACATCTGAAATGAGTCGAGCACGTGTTTTAAGTTTCAGCAGATTTACATTTTTGGGTGAACTATTCCTCTAAAGAGCAAAAACTGCTAAGAACATTTTAGAACCTTTTTGTTTAAAGCTAGTCACCCCAGCTCTCCATTAACTTTCTTTGAATTTTTGTTTTGCTATGTCAGGTTTCCATTACAGTTGGAAAATGGACAGACTGTGGAGAGAACAGTGGCACAATACTTCAGGGAAAAGTACAACTTACAGCTCAAGTATCCCCATCTGCCCTGCCTGCAAGTAGGGCAAGAGCAGAAGCACACATATCTGCCTTTAGAGGTAAGAGTCTAGATATTTGATCAATTACATTAGCTACCATTTCTTTCCACAGCCACCATCTCTTCACTGATTTATGGATTCACGTCTAGACACTTTGAGAAGCTTTGCAGATGTCTCGATTCATTTTAATGGTGCCAAAATTGATCGTCCTCTCTATCACTCAGGTGTGCAACATTGTGGTAGGCCAGCGCTGCATTAAAAAATTAACAGACAACCAAACCTCCACCATGATCAAAGCCACGGCCCGCTCGGCACCGGACAGACAAGAGGAGATCAGCAGACTGGTGAGTTCAGTGTGTTGCTATCTGATGCTGCAGTAGGCCTAATTCTTCATGTAGACTACCAAAATGTTGGTATCATAGTAGATCTTCATAGTATCCAGGCAAAAATCAAAACGGTCACAAGAATTTTCAATCAGTCTCAACTCTCAATCTTTCTGAAAACATAGGTGCGCAGTGCCAACTACAACTCGGACCCCTTCGTGCAGGAGTTTCAGTTCCGTGTGCGGGATGAGATGGCGGAGGTGACTGGTCGTGTCCTGCCCGCCCCTATGCTGCAGTACGGCGGCAGGGTGAGCTCTGAACACTTTATGGTACCCATTCCCTTTCACTCATGCACTGTATGTGTGTCTGTGTGTCTGTGTCTGTGTTTGAGCAGAAGGCTAGAAATTGGTCATGGTTTGAGGCTTGATTTAACATTTATAATTATAATTAATGTGTGCTAATTTTAAAGTGCTGGGTTATGGGTTATGAAAAGTTCATATTTTGGTTTTGGGAGTCCCCAACAACAGGTTGGCATGCATGCAAGGTCAAAAAACACTTTAATTGTCTTATAATATGCATTTATTTTTTACCTTACTTGCTTAACGACTCCCAAATGATTCGCTCAACGATTCATTTTTCCAAACCTCTCCTTTGTGTGACGCTAATCTGTGGTGCTTGGTCCGATTGGTCTCATTTTCATTTCATCATGCCTGTAATGCCTGATAAAGCAGCGTTTGTGAGTGCAGTGCTGTTTTGTGTACAGCCGTTACCGGGGAAAAATATATTTTTACGCTCCAAAAGCAGCACCTAGTGGCAAAGAATAAATTTGCATTTTCATTCAACCAATGTGAAAATACAGCAAGTGGGCGGGCAATATGCTAATGTTTTATGTTGACTTCAACATGAAACGGCTTGGGATTCGTTTTAAAAACGACTCTTTTAATTGATTCAGAGTCGACTCATTCTTTTGAGAGACAATAACTTTATACACGTGCACTTTCAGATTTAAAACTTTGCAGGATGTTTTCATTCACTTAGAGCTGTGTTACACTGCATGAAAGGTAATTTTTAAAAATCCATAATAGGGGCACTTTAATGTCTACATGTGGGACAAAGACTATAGAATACCCTTGAAGAGACTTTGATGTGGGAGGAGTTGCTGTGTTAATTTTATATAATGAGATCTGTTGCTTGTGTGTAATTGCTTGGCTTTTTATATCTTTTATACCATTTTTTTTGTTAAATTGTGAATATGTGTGGCTATTTATAGGGCTTTTAATGAAGCATTTAATGTGATTTTTTTTTATTATTGTTATTGTTTTCTTACAACTGTTTAATTTGTTTGGTTTTTTAAAAGGGATTATTCACCAAAAGATATAATTAAAAAGTAAAAAATGGAAAGTCATTATTTTCTTCATCCTCATGTCATTCCAAACCTGTATGAATTACTGCTGTGAAACACAAAAGGAGAAATTTGTGAAGTGAACAATGATTATGATTGTCAAGCAAGATGTGTACAGCATTAGAAGACTTAAAATATGGTTGTATAGACTAGTTTTATGTTGTTTTATGGTGTTTTTTGAGCTTGACAGTCCTTTTTTGTGTTCCACAGTAGAAAGGAAATTCAAACAGTTTGGAATGTCAACAGTTTGAGTAAATGATGATTACTTTTTTTGAGCACAAATTGAACTAGTTTGAAACTTTGATGTTTTTCATTGTAACAGCTCTATAAAAGTACATATACTGTAGGTTTGGCCAAACGTTTAACACCGTATACTGTTTGAGTTCATATACTATTTGATCTCAACAAGTTAAGAAGTTTGTATCCATGTGATACAGAATCGTACAGTAGCCACCCCAAGTCATGGAGTGTGGGATATGAGAGGCAAGCAGTTTCATACTGGTGTGGAGATCAAGATGTGGGCCATTGCTTGCTTTGCCACTCAGAGACAATGCAGAGAGGAAGTTCTCAAGTAAAGCTTTTTACATCTTTTTGTCTTTAACAAATCACCATTTATTAATGGAATTAAAAAAGAAATACTGAAGTGTCTCTCCTGACTTTTTGCAGGGGCTTTACAGACCAGCTGCGGAAGATCTCTAAGGATGCAGGGATGCCCATACAGGGCCAGCCATGTTTCTGCAAATACGCTCAGGGAGCGGATAATGTGGAGCCCATGTTCCGCCACCTGAAAAACACCTACGCTGGCCTCCAACTCATCATCGTCATATTGCCTGGGAAAACTCCTGTCTATGGTAACTATTTATGGACAGATGTTTATTTGGTCATTAAGTTTGGATTTAGTTCGGCTCCCACATGATATATTCTTTGAGCTCCTCACTGTTGCACTGAAGTCTGCGCTCTCTTTCTCTAGCTGAAGTGAAACGTGTTGGAGACACTCTTCTGGGAATGGCCACTCAGTGCGTTCAGGTGAAGAACGTGGTGAAAACCTCCCCTCAGACCCTCTCCAACCTCTGTCTCAAGATCAACGTCAAACTGGGCGGCATCAACAACATACTGGTACCCCATCAGCGGTAAGAGAATAAAATTAATCCATTTACACTGAAAACTTGGTTTCATTGTTTGACAAAATGCCCCTAAATGTGCCAAACACCTTGTTTATGTGTATTTATGTTGTTTGATTTTCAGCCCATCTGTATTCCAGCAGCCTGTCATTTTTCTGGGAGCTGATGTAACTCATCCACCCGCAGGAGATGGCAAGAAACCCTCCATTGCAGCTGTGAGAAAGGCCGACCACATATACACACCTTTTTTTGTCATATTCTTTACAATTTAATCACATGCACATTTGTGAAGGAAAAAAAATCATTTGCAAACCCTGAAATCATATCCTCATTATGGACCTGAAAGTTAGACTGTTATGTTGACTGTGGATATTTCAAAGAAATACTGTTTTTCTGCTTCTCCTCACTTCAAATTTGTTGCTGAACAGGTGGTGGGCAGCATGGACGCTCACCCCAGCAGGTACTGCGCTACCGTCCGTGTTCAGAGGCCCAGACAGGAGGTGATTCAGGACCTGGCGTCCATGGTGCGAGAGCTGCTCATCCAGTTCTACAAGTCCACCCACTACAAACCCACCAGAATCATCTTCTACAGGGACGGTGTGTCTGAGGGACAGTTCAGACAGGTGAGGCTCTCTAGCGCCCCCTCTCTGCCCTTAGCCTCCACTGCATGTGGTCGAAAGAGTCTCATGAGATGCTTAAATGTATTTTAATCATGATCCCGATTTATTGTGATTTCTCTTGATTAAGCATAATTGTCTTTGATATTTGCCAGCTGATTATATATCATGAAAATGTTTCATTTTCATTTAACCGTTTGCATTATCTTGCAATGGTAACAAAACTCCACAAGTTTTAATGAGTGCAGTTGCCAGATCTGAAGAGTTTAAAATCCCCCAATCGGAGCTTTTCTCCTAAATGGATACATTTTCTTCCCAACCTTTTAACCATGCCCACATTTCTTTGCTTTAAGAAAAAAAGTGCTGATGAGCTGAAAACACTAACAAAAATATAATTTGGAGTTATCAAAAATGTAAGTTTGGAGCAATCTCCACTGCGATATTTTTCTTAAATGAAAGTGTAATACAGCCAGTCTGTTTTTCATGTGGTTAACGGCGCTGTTTGCTATGTTTTAGCTTTTGAGAGAACTTGTTTTGTACAGTTTTAATGTGTTAATTTATATGGTAGATATAATACTTCAGGAAACTAGATGAGGAAAAATAACCAATTCAAGTTGGATTTCTGATGAAATCTAAAAATACATTTCTAAAATGACTATAATAATCACGATTATCAGTTTAACCATCATCATGCAGCCCTGCCATATTCAGTAGTATTTTGAACTGTATGTTACATGTTTATTTCTAGGTGCTGTACTACGAGTTGTTGGCCATACGTGAAGCTTGCATCAGCCTTGAGAAGGATTATCAACCAGGAATTACCTACATCGTTGTGCAGAAACGTCACCACACTCGTCTCTTCTGCGCTGACCCCACTGAGAGGGTGAATATGAGAGACTTCTCCTAAAAGCTTTGTTACATTTTCCTCACTTTTTCTTAATTTTTTTTTAACTCACACACTTACTTTTCTTATTATTTTTAAAGGTGGGCCGCAGTGGTAACATACCAGCAGGTACCACAGTGGACACTGATATCACCCATCCTTACGAATTTGACTTTTATCTGTGCAGCCATGCTGGAATACAGGTATGAACACACATACATAATAACTGTATTAGTGCATTTTAAGCCTTGTTTTGCTGCATTATTGCCTGTCAAATCAATTGATTGATTAATTGAGTTATTAAATCCATTTAAAGTTACACAATTTGGTAGAACTGAACATAATGCATTTCATCAAAATGATTATTTAACCTCTTTTACCCAGGGTACAAGCCGACCGTCACACTACCATGTGCTATGGGACGACAACTGCTTTACAGCCGATGAATTCCAGCTCTTGACCTACCAGCTGTGCCACACATATGTGCGATGTACCCGCTCCGTTTCCATCCCTGCGCCTGCCTACTATGCCCACCTAGTGGCCTTTAGAGCCCGCTACCATTTAGTGGATAAAGAGCACGACAGGTGAGGGATTTACTGGCCTGATTGTCGCTGTGTTGGTGTCTATAAGTAGAAATGTTCTATTTGATTTAAATTAAAGGCTTTTGGAAGCTGTCAATCATTCGGATTTTTGAATAGGCTTTGGATATTCTTGGTTGCCGCAGGTGTCACAGTGAGCCAGTATTCTTCATTTCAATGATTCAGAGTGATGGTTTGATTTCAGGAAGTTGAATTATTCAAGCCTGCCGCCTAAAAAACAGACTCAGATTTGTGTTGCAATACCATATAAAAGTAGTATTTTATATCATTGGACTGTATCTACACATCTTCACAGTTCCTGAGTGTTAAAAAAAAAAGGAGATTTTTTTTCTTCTTTATATTTATGTATGTTTCAAGTTAACACTTTTTAATCAGTTTTTATATATTGATGTTTGCACTTTACTACTGTGTACAGTGTATGTACTGTTCAAAAGTTTGGGATCGGTATAATTTTTTTAAGAAAAAGACCAATATTTGTTTGAAATGGAAATCTTTTTTTAAACATAAATATAAATGTCAACTTTGATCAATTTAATGCATCATTGCTGATTGATTGATTTGAAAACCTGAATGGGTAGTGCGCATATTGTGTAAGTTTGTATCTCCCTGGTATGTCAAGGAAAATGTATTTCATAGTGTACATTTCTGCCTCTGCTCATTTCTTTCTCCTCTTTCACAGTGCGGAAGGCAGCCACGTGTCGGGCCAGAGTAATGGCCGAGACCCCCAGATCCTGGCCAAAGCTGTGCAGATCCATCACGACACTCTGAGGACCATGTACTTTGCTTAGCCCCGCCTTCACAGACCTGTCAGTCGCTGGTCATCGTGCACTTAGCGGAGGAGGGCTTCTCCCAATCACAGGCTGCTAAAGGAGATTTTTTTTCTTCTTTATATTTATGTATGTTTCAAGTTAACACTTTTTAATCAGTTTTTATATATTGATGTTTGCACTTTACTACTGTGTACAGTGTATGTACTGTTCAAAAGTTTGGGATCAGTATAATTTTTTTAAGAAAAAGACCAATATTTGTTTGAAATGGAAATCTTTTTTTAAACATAAATATAAATGTCAACTTTGATCAATTTAATGCATCATTGCTGATTGATTGATTTGAAAACCTGAATGGGTAGTGCGCATATTGTGTAAGTTTGTATCTCCCTGGTATGTCAAGGAAAATGTATTTCATAGTGTACATTTCTGCCTCTGCTCATTTCTTTCTCCTCTTTCACAGTGCGGAAGGCAGCCACGTGTCGGGCCAGAGTAATGGCCGAGACCCCCAGATCCTGGCCAAAGCTGTGCAGATCCATCACGACACTCTGAGGACCATGTACTTTGCTTAGCCCCACCTTCACAGACCTGTCAGTCGCTGGTCATCGTGCACTTAGCGGAGGAGGGCTTCTCCCAATCACAGGCTGCTAAAGAGAACCAAATGTAGAACTTACAGGAGGAACTAGCACTGTTATGCAATAGAAAAACAGCCAATCTTTCCAGACTGCTTCGCTTACTAATTGTTTTTAATATGTAGATTGCAGCTATACCATTATTTATTAGATTTGTAGATCTGTTTAACTATTAATTTTGCCTATTTAGGTCACAAAACCAAGCTTAAGAAGGTTTGCTTGATGAACTCGTACTAGATCAATGAATGAGGCAGTGTTATTTCTTTAGGAGCAGATTGATGAGCCCTACTCATCAGGATTTCGCCTTTTACAGAGTTTTGTTTCACAGCTGATCAAACACACAAGTTGAACATCAGTGTCTTCTGGTTTAGTTGAAAATGCCAGGCTGGCGTGTTTGAACTAATCTTTGGAACCACCTTTGGTTTAGGATTAGGATTTTTTTTTAGGGTTGATGAAGTCGGTTGGTGGAGGAATGCCATTAGAGGGCAGTGCAAAGTTGGCTATGACATCTTACTGTAGGTCCTCCACTGTTCCTCTGGACATTTGCTGTGCTAATCTGAAACCATTCTTTATATTTTACTAGTAAATCATGCTTTTCCAGCAAAATCTTATCTAGCATCTGCAAAAAAGACAATTGAAATGTCATTCCATTTCATTCCAACCAGTCGGAAATCCATCTTTGTTCCTTTACATCTCATTTTCCATGTGTCCATGTCTTATTCTGCTTTTTGAACATTGGAGGCACCTCTTTTCTTCAAATTTCACAGTCTTTCAAATGATTCTATATACCTCTGTGATGCATTAACTTTCTAGTCCATGTGCTGTCTGGAAAATATTGCGCCTACCATTGAACTATTGGTTCTTTGCTGTTCCTGGCGGCTTTCTCTTCGGCTCGCTCATTAGGCAGAGGTGACAGATTAGCTAAGGACTGCAGAATCAACAAAAGATGAACTTTGAAACTCAAAAAGTTGGCAAATATTTTCCACATAGTCAACTGTCTCTGTGCCTCATTCATTTTGGGTGCGCTTACAACGCAAGTGTTCAAATCAGTCGGAGCGTGACCATAACACATTTGATGTGTGTGCACATATAATTCCACCCAAGGCTACTCAGAGGCCTACGTCATCCATTAATATTAACTTTACAGCTGTTAGACATTTCATTCTGACTTATGATCTCGGAGCTTATTTATAATGTTGCTTTTAACTGGCATTTGTCAGTAGCGCATCTGGAAATGATCTGTTTAACTTATCAGTTTCTTTATTTCGCGTTTTAGCCCTGTGAACTCTGACAAACACTGTCCCATAAGCCTTTTAGTGCAATAAGCCAATTATTGACGGCTCTGTCGTAGACTTTCATTATACAATGCAAACCGTACCTTATGAGTGAATGCTTTAATTTACAAAAAAAAAAAAGTTTTGTTGTATGTGGCATTGTGTAAGAGAACTTGATTTGAAATGGATGATGTGTTTTAAGGCTAGAATGCTGAGTTGCGTTTACAGAGGAGATGGATACTCTCATGGGTATGTTTTATGGGAAAGAATCAGTTTGCTGTCAAGAGGTCTTGGACGAACCTTTCTTGTAAAATGTCAAATGAGACAAAGTGCCTGTTTTGTAGGAAATATCCCTAAAACGCAATTCTATTGGGGTATTTTTAAATATATATTTAAAGTAAGTGGCGTGTACATAGGTTGGACAGATATTTAGCTATTGAAATGGTTGTTATTAAGGTCTTTTTGTTGTTAAGCCCTTAATTTGAATAGTTGCACTAATATAAAACTGAATAAACCAAGTACTGGGTCATTTTCTTTTGAACTTTCTTTTAAACTTTTGGACTTTCTTTTAAACTTTTGGACTTTCTTTTGAACTTTTGGACTTTCTTTTGAACTTTCAAACTGTCTTTTGAACTCTCAGACATTCTTTTGAACGTTTGAACTTTCAAAAGCTCTTTTTGAACTTTCTTTTAAACATTTGGACATTCTCTTTTGAGGTTTTAAATTACATTTCGAACTTTCAAACTTTATTTTGAACTTCAAGTTTACATTTTCACACATTCTGTTTGAATTTTCAAACATTCATTTGAACTTTCAGACGCCTTTTTTTTTTTTTTTTGACCTCTTTTCTTCAAACCCCTGCGTGTTCACAGCCCCTGTATATTCAGCTGCATTCCATACAGACCAAACCGATGTGCCTCGGAAAACAGGGGTAGCAGGGAGTATTGAGTAAAGGCATTTGGATTGCAGTAGGGTAGGTGGAGGGTAATATTTGTTAACTCCATGGCCTCTGGCACACTTTCACATCACCCTTAATGTGAATGGCACTGTGGTCTTTCTGCCCTATAGCCACAAATATGTGTTGACCAGTGTAGCTGCTATTTTACATAAACTACATCTGCTTTTATATGTGGAGAGAGAACAAGAGAGATTCTGAGAAATGACTGACAAATATTTTGCTGCACTTAAAAAGCTGTATGGTCTCAGATTTGGCGAAACGCCCAAGGTGCTAAGAGGTGTGGTGCTGTAATTGGGGGATGTTAACTACGCTAATGTGTCTGCTCCGCATTTACTGCGAAAATTTTTAGCATTTTTTTAATGTATGGTGAAAAATGTAGATCTTTAGAACCTTGTTTGGATTTTTTTCAGAGTGTGATGTTCGGTTAGCTCGCTAATTTTTCGAGAGTTTTTTTTGCGAATTACCAAACCCACATACATGATATTATATCCAAACAGTTTAAATAAAATGCCACTTTTAGCGAGTTAACTGGAGTTTAGTTCTATAAAAAAAATCTTTGCGCTAATGTCAAATGGCTTCGGTGCTCTTTTTCATTTGTTTCGATGTGTTGGGAACTGTTACTTCTCTGCCGCTACCAGCATTTGAACTTACTTGAATAAGGGGAGTGATTAGTAGAACCTTCACCCGTATGCATGTTTGGCTTTAGATGACCACTTATACAGCCTTTTGAAGTTGCCACGGAATAAATCGCTATAAAAAGTCCTGTAGGTGGGGCTATTTGAGTTGGTGGGTGTGGCTTAAATGGCACCTCCCACTGAAACTGTGATGCGACCCTCTCTACCCCTTAAAGCTGGACTGCGGCTACCTTAAAGCATTTTTAATTCAGAGTAGTATATTTGTATATTTTTAAATAACGGAACTGCATAATGCACATCAATTATTTTTGCTAACAAAGTCTATGAAAGATAAGCAAAAGATGGTAATAGTGATCTTAATCATGATAGTGACTAATATAAATTGGGCTAATATGCAATAGACTATTGACTAATAGATTCGTCTCATCTTGTTTTTAGAAGAAAAAGTCGTTTGTGAGTGTCTCTGCATTGTCCTATGGTATTTATGAGCAAAATTATGTAGTTCACAATGGGCCTTCAGTCCTCTCGCTTTTATTGACTTAAACATGAATGTACCGCCTCAAACATTTCCATTTAGTTGATTAAAAACAGGATGATTCACACACAAGCACATTTAATAATGCCTGTAGGCGTCAAGCCCTCTTGAACTCCTATTAATTGTGTCTGAACTAAAGTGATAAACTGTTTTCCTCAAGCCTAGAGTATTTGCTGCTTGAGGTTATTTTTCTGACTATGTTGAGGTGGTGAAGATTCATCCTTTGGGCAGACGAGTTAGTGGAATGTGCCTTTTCTGATGGTGCTGTTCTCAGACAGGTAAAATACGACATTTTTAAGGGCCCAACAAGCCTACATGAAGTTATATTAATATGATATACTGTATAATATGTGTTCAAGAGTGTTAAAACTGTATGTGTGGGTGTGATTGTGCCTCTTTTTTTCGCCAAGAACACATTAAATCACTGAGCTTGCCAGTTACAGGGTATCTGGACCAAACTTTCTACAAGGGTTATAGCTACTTTTTGTAAGGATTTGGCACTGCAAAACTAATAGATCAAGCACTGACTCCCAAGTGATGTTTTCCCTTTATTGTTTTTTGTCTTCAAACCATTTCTAACAACCAAGACAAATCTGTGTTCTCTATACGTGATGAAATAGCAATAACGAAATTGGTAATGTCACTAATATTTGGCTTAAATTCCAGTTTTAGACACTTTTCCATAAATGAACTTCACAGATCCAACTGTTACATTTATTAACATGATGATCTGGTGATTATAAAATGAGGATATCTGTATCTGTGATTAAATACAGCACAATATGTATCAGATTGATCATACTATGCAAGCTTCTTCTCATCTTGAAGGAGCTTCATAGGATTCTTCAAAGTCAGCACTCTTTCCATTGTGATGCAACATGATGTTCAGCGCTCTGATATAACCGTTTAGTTTAAGTGTGATGAAATAATATTAATGATAACAGAACTGTCCAGTTTTCAAATATATATTTGTCTCTTGTTTTATCTCAGCTCTTCTAATTGTGGTCTTTCATTGGGTCTTTTTATTTGGTTGATCTATTTAATTGTCAATATTTTAATTAAAGCTGTATGTATGCAAACTTTGATGGATGTCTTTTGAACTGTTTGTCTTGGACAAAAATGACACGTATGAATAAATATTGAATGCACATGCATTTCTGTTTACTGTGCAAGAAAGGAGTATGTAGTTCAGTGTTATTAACTATTAAAAATAATTGTTGGTTATTTGCAATAAAATATAAATATTAGATGATTCACTTAAATGTAAATGAGAAATATTACTAAAATTGATATTATTATTATTATTATTATTAATTACACATAGCAAAATTACTCCAACTGAAAAATAAAAATGTCAAAATAAAAGTGTACACAGATGTAGATTGAAGTAAGAATGGCTAACAGTAGATTAGATAAATAGAAATGTTGATAAATACTTTATTAATCCCACAAAGGAAAGAACAATGTCCAGAGAAATATATTATTTGAATGAAAGATACAATCAATTGATTTAAAATATGACCTTTTCCATACACAAACATAGTTTGTAACAGTTACCACCTCAATTCACACACATACAGTCTAAAATTAATTCTATGAGTGAAAACTCTCTTTATATCAAATTTACTTAATTCCTTCCTTGTTAATTTAGTTGCACATTGCGATACAGGGAAGAATCTGCCTTGTAGAGAAATGAAACCACAAGCTGGATCTTACAAAAGCCTACATGGCTTTTCCCTTGCTACATTATATGGAAGCAGTTTCCACAATGGGATAAAAAATAAAAGGTAATTGTGACTCTCACAGACTTAACTGTGAGATATAAACTCTCAATTCTGAGAAAAAAAAGTCAGAATTGCAAGATGTTTATATCTTGCAATTCTGAGAAAAAAAATAGGTATTGAGTAAAAGTAATCACAATTCCTTTTTTATTTATTTTTTCATTCTGTGGCAGAAACAAGCTTCCATAATATTACATAAGCATTATTGCACAAAACACATTCTCAACCTTTCCCCCAACACTGTGTTAAAGATCAAAATTAGATGCTTATAGTTAGTGTCTGTTAGATTTGAGACCATCTATAATCTAGTCTAGTCCTAAAAGTTGTCCCAAAAAAAAGTTCAGCAGCTGAAACCGATTAGAAATAGCGCATAGCAAATAATGTTCATCATGGCTGTGATGTAAACTGAAGGTTACTGGCTATTTTAAAGCCCAAGTTTCCTTTTGCAATGGGAAATATGTCAGCACATGTAGGAAACTCTTTTTGACCAACCATTTCACAAGGTGTTTACATTTTAAAAATCATATAAAATTTGGAAAAGGCAGAAGCGTCACTTGGAAAACTTTGAAAGCATTCGTTTTCTTTTTCTACTGCTGTACGCACTCAATAGTACATTAATATGTTGTCCTAAATGGATTCTCTGGGAACATCCATGAGATTTTGGTCCATGCTGTTTAATTTCAGTGGAATTTCCTGCAGCTATTCTACAGTTCCACCTTGTTTTTTTGGAGGTTTGGCCTGAAATCTGTAGATGCATGCTTCCATGCCTGTGGATGTGCTTTGTGACATGCCGCATTATTGCCCTGAAGTATCTAGTCAAAGACTGGTCGTCTGTAGTCATAAAAACACATGGTCAGTAACAATGTCTGAATTGTTTCAGATAAGTGTGTGTAAACTCACATTTTTTCATGGTCTGTTTGGGGCTGTTCCTCATGTTCCTCCAGATCAGCCATCAGGAAGGAGTCTGTGGAGCAAGTGCTGATCCTCATGGGTGCAAGACGCCGCAGTCTGTTGGGTGTCCAGGGCAGGCGTCGCTGGGCCCTCTGGGAAGGTGCGACAGCCTCAGTCTCCATTAGCCAGGGAAGGCTGCTGTGAGTGGGACTGTCCATATCTGGCAAGAATACTGGATTCTCTATGCCAGCTTCAATGAGATAGGAAAGAAACATCGACAAACCTTCAACTTCTTACTTATTCAAATATGGTACTTATGCAAACTATATTGTAGGCCTATAGATTTTACGTACAAAACAACATCTGTTCAGACCCTTTTCTTACCTCCCACTGTATACGTGTCTCTCATGAAAGTACCACGGATAGCACCAGTCTCACTCCCCACAGCACTGTCAACTAAAAACACAAAATCATGCTTTGGGAGGGTTACTTTGGAAATGTATTAGGTTACAGATTTTAAGTTACCCTATTTAAAAGACAGACAGGTTGCAGCCTAAAGTGTTCAGCGATAATGTGTATTGATGTAATTGGCAGACGTGGTGTGCTGCAAATTCAAATAAGAGAACCAATAAAAATCATTAAAATAGCATTACTTTACTAAATGGTGTTTAAATGTCAGGAGGCATTGTACACATCAAAAACAGGTAAAGCAACAAATTAATACTATTCAACATATCCTAGCTTTTTGCAGAACATATTCCAATGTAACCCCCTTTGTAATCGCTAACATTTTCATAAGTAACTAATTTAATTACACTTTTTTTTTCTAAGTAACAGATTACAGTTACATTTATTTTGTAATTAAATTACATAATGCCATTACATGTAACTAGTTACTCCGCAACACTGTTTGTCAAAGAATGATAATTAGAGCAGAAAAGTTTAATAAATGAATAGTGGAAAATAGTGGAAACGGATCATTTACTCAAAAGGAAATCATGTTGAGGAAGTTTATGTTTAATTTTTACAACTTTGTATGTAATTGTTTTTATTTCATTATGTTTAAAAGCAAATACTTAATTACATTTGTATTACAAATACACTTGGAAAATATATACATTTATTAATTTATAAATGTATACATATAATTTATTATGATTTAAATAGAACTTATGAATTATTGAACTACTTTTATCTTTATGTATTTTTTATTTCATTATATAGTTTATTTCATATTTTAGTGCATATATATATATATATATATATATATATATATATACATATATATATATATATATATATATATTAATTT